CAGAAGGTCAAGAGGGTAGCTTCAGAAAATTCAGAAGGTCAAGAGGAGGGCTTCAGAAAAGGGCAGTTTCAGGGATGGAGTCGCAACCACATCTTCCCTCTTTTGATTCTCTTTGGAGATTCCCCAGTTCCTCTACCGGATAACGTCACTAGGTCAACACAACCCTAGTTGAGTTTTTGGGGAAAGGCAACCACAAGTTACTAGAAAAAGCTAGAAACCACAGCCCACTCACCTGCAGCTCCTCCGAGAGAGTGGTGGTTTTTCCAAGGGACTCAGCGACCATCTCCTGGGTCACAGGGAATTTGGCCGGGATCTCCGTGCACTTCTCGATCACCAAAGGGTTGACCCCATTCAGATACTGGTAGCCAAAGAAGGTGTCTTCTTGCCAATGATCAGCAACATATTCTGGAGAATCAGAGAAATCGAAAGCAACAAGGGAGTGACTTTCTGATGGATTATGAAGTTCACTCTGAAAATCTTGAAGACCAGGCTGGACCATGAAGGAGGGAGGATGTCAACTCATAAATCATCCCTATGCCTGTTTCCAAGTTGCCATAAGAAGGAGGGGGGAACCAGAAGTACATTGCACACTTATCTTACAAAGACTGTAGCCTAGGCTACCGGATCTTCTACCCACGAAAACCCTTTATTGGAGAATGTGATTGATGATGCCCAGCTCATGAACCCTTCATTGGAGAATCTGATTTGTGACACACCCAGGAGGGTGGGGGGAAACAGGATCATAGGTGATCGTAAATTACGTGTGTCAGAGTTGGCTTCATATGGGTTAGTGCCGGACATGTTTCTCCTAACAAATCTTTTGGATTTTTTTGAAGCTTGACTTGAGACTCATGATTTAATTAATCGTCGGAACGCTGACATAGGATCTGGGTGGAGAATTCTTGGAAGATTAAAAATATTCTATTCTTGCAGAAGAAGAGCATTGTTTTAGGTAGAACTGGGATCTCGTATCCAATCTGAGTAGGAATGCAATTAGGAGGAGAAAAAACTCGGCATTCCTCACAATCGGAAGAGGAGAAGATCTCGGAAGACCTGGAAGAGGAGAAGGCCAAGCGCTCAGGTTTTAGGCCAAAGATCTGCTTCCAGAAACAACCCCCAGGTCAACCAACAACTCAAAGCTGTGGTGTTACAACTGGCTGTCTTTTCACAACATTCAAGATGGCCGCCTCTTTTTTCCAATAGCGGGACCATCCTAGTCCAGGATCTGCACGTCCATTTTACCTTGGATGAATTCTGGGATTTTAGTCTGTGTTGTGTAGAAGAGGAGCAAGAAGAGCTGGAGGCGGAATTAAGCACGTCATCAGCTTAGAATCATTACGTTGCCACAAATGGTTCAAGTCCGTCTCCTGAATTCTGTTGACTCTTACCTGGCTCCAATTTAACACTGAACTTTAATTGACTAGATTTTAGTGCAAAAGATTGAGAGTTAATGAACTCTGAACTGCAACTTAACTTGATTCCTTATGCTAACATTAATCTAGTCAACTAATACTCAATAGATTAATGTTCCCCGTAGTGGCCAGGGAATTCTGGGAGCTGAAATCCACACATCTTAAAACAGGAAGACTTGGAATTCAGGAAGTTGAAGTCCACCCATCATAAATCAAACCGACTGGGGAATTCTGGGAGCTGAAATCTACCTATCTTAAAGTATCTCGACTGAGGAATTCTGGGAGTTGAAGTCTACCTATCTTAAAGCATGTCAGCTGGGAATTCTGGGAGTTGAAGTCTATCTCTATCTATTTTAAAGCCGGCTAGCTGGCAAATTCTGGGAGTTGAAGTCTATCTATTTTAAAGCAGGCTGGCTGGGGAATTCTGGGAGTTGAAGTCTATCTTAAAGCATGTCAGCTGGGAAGTCTGGGAGTTGAAGTCTATCTATTTTAAAGCAGGCTAGCTGACAAATTCTGGGAATTGAAGTCTACCTATCTTAAATCAAACTGGATGGGGAATTCTGGGAGTCGAAGTTCACCCATCACAAATCAAACTGGGTAGGGAATTCTGGGAGTCGAAGTTCACCCATCACAAATCAAACTGGGTGGGGAATTCTGGGAGTTGACGTCTACCCGCCTTAAACCATGTTGGCTGAAAAATTCTGGGAATTGATTCCACCCATTTTAAAGCCCCTCAATTGTGGAGCGCTGTGTTCTGTACTCCAAAATAATCTTCATTATCCTCTCATATTTCTTCCATGCATTTTATATATTTGAGATATTCCCAGGTTTTTCCTTCTTTGCCCTTCCGATACCAACCTGAAACCAAGGTCTTGTTGAACCAGAAAATCTTGCGAATGTCCTCGAGTTTTTTCCAGGAATTGTGATAGTTCATTAGGCCTTTTAACCTAAACTCCAATTTTCTGAGGAGCAAAAGAGAAAAAGGAGACGGTCTAATCCTGGATCACGGTTCAGTGGCCAAACCAGGGTTAACCGTTTTCTCTTCACAGAGGAAGTAAGGATAAATGCAAAAGCTTCCCCTGTCAATTTTGGTGAGAGAGTCCTTGGTGATTCTTTCATTACATGAGCCATGGGTATACAAACAAACAGCAAACCTCACGCTCCCTTCTAGCACTGATGACGTTCCCTAGCAGGGTCATGAGATGTCTGTCAGAAAACCACCAAGTGTCCTATTTCTACGATCTTTTTAGATTTGCCAACAGAAAGGGAGCGGGGAGAAAGGGGTTTGAAAGAGCAGTGCGGCGGCTTGCAAACCGAAAGCGCATTCCATAAATGGTTTTTCAAAAATAGTAATTAGGCGACTGAAGTTTCTGCCACGCACAATTCTAACTGGAGAAGATGGTTGATGACTCTGGGCTATGGCCGTGTCCCGTTGGAGAATACGAATTGTGATACACCCAGGAGGTTGTGGGGGGGGGGGGGAAACCAGGGTCAAGGGTGACAATGAATGATGGGTCTCAGAGTCGGCTACACCCAGGCAGTGCTGGCATGTTAATTCCCCATAAATCCTTTTGAAGTTTTGGAAGTTTGGCTCGAGACTCACAATTTAATTGGGGTAACTGCCAGAATGCTGACACCAAGCTCAGACAGCACCAAGGGCCCCACGGTTGTTGTTGTCCTCCTCCCCCTCCTCTCCACAATCCCCCCTCCCTTCTAGCACGGATGACATTCCCTAGTTGGGTCACGAGACGTCTGCAAGAAAATCACCAAGCTCGGAGTTCATCAGAGCCCCCAGAGCAATGGTGGGATTGGAATAACTTAACCACCGGTTCTCTGGCTGTGGCAGGGTGGATGACATCACTCATCACACCCAGCCCTGCAGGTAGGATTCAGCCAGTTGGGGCTAATCCCACCACGGGTGGCCCTTTCCCCGTTTTTCGGCCTGTTTTTTGGCCATTTCCAGGCCATTTTGGGGTGGCGTTTTCAGGCCATTTTTCAAGCTATTTTCGGGCCGAAAAACAGCCTGAATAACGGCTGGAGAACCACTGGGGATAGGACCAGCCAGTAGTGGGATTTGCCAGTTTGCCGAACCGCGCAGAATCTTAACTACTGGTTTGCTTGAACTGGTGCAAGCTGGCACCGGTTCTCTTCCTCTCCACTCCACAAATCCCACTCCCACCTGGCACTGAGGATGTTCCCTAGTTGGGTCACAAAACGCCTGCAAGGAAAACTAACAAGCCCAGAGACCACCAAGGACCCCACAGGCCTCCTCCTCCTCCTGTCCACAAACTCTCCTCCCTTCCTACTATGGTTGATGTTCCCTAGTTGGGTCATGAAACGTCTTCCAGGAAAACCACTCGGCTCAGGGAGCGCCCAGGACTTCACGGTTGATCCCAGAGCTACAGAGATTTCTGTGGTACCCACGTCAGTTTCGAACGGGCGATGAAAGTGCTCATCTTGGTCAAGGAGAACTTGATGTTGGTATTCATCTCGTCTATGGTGTCCACCGCCACACACCGCGGCAAGCCAGGAGCAAATTCCATCCACCTGGTGATTTCAAAAGAGAGATATTAAAATGAAACAGAAGTTGCCTTCAGAAGTTGTGGGAGCTTCATCCCTGGAGGCTTTCAAGAAGAGACTGGACTCCCATCTGTCAGAAATGGTGTAGGGTCTCCTGCTTGGGCAGGGGGTTGGACTAGATGACCTACAAGGTCCCTTCCAACTCTGTTATGATTCTGTTATTCAGAAATTGTGGGGACTTCATCCCTGGAGGCTTTCGAGAAGAGACTGGACTGCCCTCTGTCAAAAATGGTGTAGGGTCTCCTGCTTGGGCGGGGGGGGGTGCAGGTTGGGCTAGATGACCTACAAGGTCCCTTCCAACTCTGAATCTGTAAATGCATTTTTTAAATTTTTTTTAAAAAACCTTTATTAGTCAAATTTTACAATTAAAAACATACTTCCATTCATTTCAGCGTGTTTGTAGTGGTGTTCACTCTCATTGACATGTTCTTAAATATGTAAATAATCACTAAATATTATTACAATTACTTTACATTCAATTTATAATGTACGGTCATATATTTACATAACTATTTATATAATTATACATAATTATACTTAGTTGTACAATATTGTTTCATCTCACCCTAACCTTTCTTTCATTTATCTATTTTATAGCCAATTGTACCATAGATTCCAGATTTCATGGTACTCTATTTATTCTCTCACTTTCATTTTCATCAAAAGCCTATCCATTTCTGAGGCTTCCGGTTTGAGCTTCTTCGGCGACAGACCGAAACCTCGTCTCTGCAAGACTTCGATCCGTGCTCGCCGCTGGAGCGCCCCGAGCCGGCTGGTTTTGGGGCTAAGCCACCCCGTAGAGGTAGTGAAGAGCGGGGAGACTGCCTGCAGGGTTGAGGAGAGCCGCATCTCTCCTCCTCAGCTGGCCATTACTCCCTTTCCCGAAGGCGACTGCAGCGGTGGTCAGAAATGGCCACCACAAAGAAGAACTCGACTGGAAAAGAATGTGCAGGAGGAAGATAAGAAGAAAAAGTTTTGGTTGACCGGGTCAAACAGTAAAAGCAACAAATAAGGTACCCTGGAATTTAAATTTAATAACATTATTCCCAAAGAAGATTTTGAATCTATGAAGGAGAGATAGAAGGGAAAGGATTAGAGTTTTTTTTTCTTCCCTTCCTTATACTGACAGCTAAGAGACTTAAGCAAGAAATTGAAAAAAAATCCACTTTGACATTAATAGGCATCTAAGCTGAAAATAAAAGTCAAAGGGATAATAAAGATTTCTGGATATTTAAAAGTTTTTAAAAGCAGGAAAGGAGGAAAAAAAAAAGAATAAAAGGGCAGGATCTGGAAAAATGGAGGAGACTGCCTGGAACTAAGGAATGGAACTGTAACTAGAAGGAACTTACAGTGAAATTTCAACAAGATTCCTCAAAGATACATCTTAATTGAAACTTGGTAACGAAATAATAGAACCCCAGGAAGAGAAAGTGGAAAAAAGAAGCAGAAAGAAACAGCCTTGGATTATTTGGATTACTTGGTGATTTTTGGTTTTTGCGTCTGGATGACTAAAATTAACCGGGTGGTTGTTTAAAAGTCTTTAAAATGGTATCACTCTTAGAAGAACTGAAAACGGAACTTAAAAAATGGAAAGAAGGCGCACAAGAAGGGAGAAGTTCTTTTGGCTTCGTGTTTCAATTCTTAGAAATGGAGATCTGGAACTATGAGAAGCAACAAGAAACGCTTGCAGAACAAGAAGATTGGGACAAAGAGGAAGCCATCTTTAAGGGTCAAATAATTTTAAGTAGGGGGGGAAAAAGAAAAGGGGGGAAAGAGAGTGAAAGGTTTAAGATTATAAAAAACAACCAGAAAGAAGAACAATTTGAAAGATAAGTATAATATTAGAAAGCAACAGAAGAGGAGATTACAGATGAGAGAGTTTTTTCAGGATCACGGTAATTTGGAACTGTTGCTAAAGTCGAGGCGGTTTGTAAAACTTTTCGTAAGGACTCCCTATAACATAAATTTCAGTGGCCAGTTTGTATATAAACAGAGAGCAAACCCCACTCCCTTCTAGCACTGATGATGTTACCTAGATGGGTCATGAAACGTCTGCAAGAAAACCACCACACTCAGAGAGCACCAAGAACCCCACCAGTCTTCCTCCTCCTCCTCCTCTTCTTCCTTCCCTCCTGCTTCTCCACTGCTCCATAAACCCTACTCCCGTCTAGCACTGAAGATGTTACCTAGTTGGGTCATGAAATGTCTGCAAAGAAAACAACCAAGCTCGGGGCGAACGCAAACATTTCCGGAAACTTGGCACGGAGACAAATCAGACATCCACAGACACACAGAATTAAACCCCGTTTACACACATCTGCTGAATGGTCTTTGCAAGATCGTTTGCAGAGAGGAGGCCATGGTGCACATATGGGTCTGTGCGTGTTATGTGCGCAGGTGTGCAAGCCCCAGAAGAGAAGGGATGGTTAGAAAAAAAAGGTTCCAGAAAGCATTTACCTGTAAGTGTCCTGCCTGCTTCTCAGCTCTTCCGTCCTGTGTCTCAGCAGGCAGGAGTTCTGGCCATCGTCACAGATCAATTTGCCTGGGAGGGATGAAAAGGGAGGAAAACGTCCTGGGCACTGGATTCAAATTGCGCGTGCCTTTCTCCCAGCATTCTCAGAGCAAACTCGGGGGGTGGGGGACTTCCTTTTCCTCCAAAGTGGACAGGGATGGGATAGGAAAAAAGGGGATGATTTAGGAAGAGGTTCTTCAACTTTGAGCACCGGGCTGGACTAGAAGACATCTAGCTTTACTTTACTCTTCTCTTCTCTTCTCTTCTCTTCTCTTCTCTTCTCTTCTCTTCTCTTCTCTTCTCTTCTCTACTCTACTCTACTCTACTCTACTCTACTCTACTCTTCTCTTCTCTTCTCTTCTCTTCTCTACTCTACTCTACTCTACTCTACTCTACTCTACTCTACTCAACTCAACTCTATTCTATTTTCTTTTCTATTCTATTCTATTCTATTCTATTCTATTCTATTCTGTTCTTCAGTCCAATATCTATTCTATTCTATTCTATATTCTACTCTATTCTATTCTATTCTAATTCTTATTCCATTCTATATATTCTATTCTATTCTGTTCTTCAGTCCAATATCTATTCTATTCTATTCTTATTTCTGTTCTATTCCACTCTATTCTATTATTCTATTCTATTTTATTCTTATTTCTACTCTATCCTGTTCTTATTTCTATTCTATTCTTTTCTATTCTTATTTCTATTCTAGTTCTGTTCTGTTCTACTCTACTCTACTCTACTCTACTCTACTCTACTCTATTCTAAATTCTCTTGTATTCTATCCTTCTGTTCAGATTTGATTCAAGTTCCTGTCTCAGCATAGGAGACCTCCCAGGAATATTGTTGGAGATACGAAATAAGGCCTCCCCTTCCCAACACAAAGGTAGCGTCCAAATTTTGGTCACATGGCCCCCGGGGACGCGGCAATGGCTGTTAAGTATGAAAAACGGTCATAAGTCACTTTTTTTTCATTGAGCCGTTGGGAATTGGAAGGATTGCTAACCGTACTGTGTTAAGGGCTACCTGTACATTTTTAGGATTTTTTTAAAGGGTTATTATTTTTTTTAAGGGGTCGGCAACCTTAAGCACTCAAAGTGCCATTTGGATCCGTTTCACACAGAAAAGAAAATACTGGGAGCCACAAAACCTAGTTTTTTTAAAAAAAAAAGCTCAATAAATTACGTGCTGGTGGGTGTCGCACATTGGCAGTTGTGACACATATTTTGAGCGACAGGGAGCCGTAGCAGAGGGATGAAAAGAGCCACATGCGGCTCTAGAGCCACGGACTCCTAGATCAGGAATGTCAAAAAATCAAGGCCCACAGGCCAGATCCAGCCTGCAGTGTGGTCAGATTGGCCCTATGTGGCTTCGGTCCAGTCTACCCCAGCAGTTTGGGGAGTGGTGTTGAGTTGGCCATGCCCATCCAATTGACCACACCCACCCTGTTGGCCATGTCCCCCCCCCCCCAGGTCAACCACAGCCCTGACACAGCCCTCGGTGAAACTTGAGTTTGATACCCCTGAACTAGATGATCTTACCCGTGCCCTCTCTCAGCTCCAGGTCCTGGTAGCCCTCGATCCATTGGTAGCAAGGAAAATGGAAAATTTGGCCATCTGGGTCAGTTAACTGGACAAAGTCGCAGAACCACGGATCCTCTGGAAAGAATTGATAGGGTTCCTTGTGGAGCCGGATTAAAAGGAGGGGGCCCAGATGACGATCGCTCGAGATTTCATAGTCATCCACCTGAGGGAAAGAAGAGAATCCGTTACACGGAGGAAGCACGACCGGTTGGATCTCAGCCTGTCGCCAAAACAAAATAAATTAGGAAAACCGTAATGGAACAGAGAACCAACTAGGCCAGAGGTTGGCAACCCACAGCTCTGGAGCCGCATGTGGCTCTTTCACCCCTCTGTTGCGACTCAGTCGCTCAAAATATGCGTCACAACCACCGTCACATGATTTATGGAGCTTTTCAACCCTCAATAGATTTTGTGGTGTTTTCTTTTCTGTGGGAAACGGATCCAAAAGGCTCTCTGAATGTTTAAGGTTGCCAATCCCTGAAGCTAGGCTGAGGACACCTCACTTGGTGGCTATGAAGGCACTCAGGGGACAGATGTGAATTGTCCTTGACTTATGACCATTTGTTTAGTGACTGTTCCAAATCAGGGCACTCCAAAGAGAATCTTATGACCGTTTTTTCACACTTACGATGTTATGAGCATTTTTCACACTTATGACTGTTGCCGCATCCCCACAATCACGGGATCAAAATTCAGCCACTTGGCCACTTGATTCACATTTATGACGACTGCACCAGGGGTGGGATTCTACCTGTTCGCATCTATTCGCTAGAACCGGTTAAGATTCTAAGCAGTTCAGAGAACCGGTTGTTAGAAGAAATTATTGGGCTAATCCTGTAAGGAAGGCAGGAAGGAATCATTCTGGTGTTGCTTACAGAAACTGCCTCTCTGTTAACCCTTATTGCATTCTTGGCAGGACTAGACTTCCTGTCTCAGGAATGTCTCTGGAGCTTTTTCCCCTTTGCTTGTGTGGAGTGACCATGACAGTTACAATGGCACTGAAAAAAGTGACTTATGACCATTTTTCATGCTGACGACTGATGCAGCATCCCCACAGTCATGAGAGGCCAGGCAAGGAGATGCGTGCCTCGATGTGAGTGATGTTGAGTTGGCCACACCCAGCCAGTAACAGGACCACCAAGCCGTGTCCACCCAGTCACATGACCACCAAGCCACGCCCACCAACTAAGCCACGCCCACAGAACCGGTTGTTAAAATTTTTGAATCCCACCCCTGGGCTATACTATTCCGGAGGCTCACACAATCCCTCCCCCCTTTGGTGACCTTCTATCAAGCGAAGTCAACGGGGCCAGATTCGCTTAACATCCATATGACTTAGCAAGTACAAAGCTTCCCTTAACAACTGCGGCCAGAAACGTCATAAAAGGGAGTCAAATTCATTCAATAGCTGTCTCGCTTAGCAACAGGAATGCTGGGCTTGATTGCAGTTGTATGTTGAGGCCTGCTCGGTACGTAGATTACCGTACTGAGTTCGAATATTATCTTTTTTTCTCTTTTTCATGCAAAATGTCCTGGCCTCTAATAATAATAACAATAATAATAATAATAATAATAATAATAATAATAATAATAATAATAGATAAATAAATAAATACTGGGGCAACAAGATCGTAAAAACTTAAGCACCTGTTTTGCCCAGCAGCAGAAATTTGGGCTTTGATTATGGTTGTAAGTCAAGGACCACCTATACTGTTCCCATGAAAATAAGACCTACCCTGAAAATAAGCCCTGGCATGTTTTATGTGTGTGCCTAATATAAGCCCTACTCCCGAAATAAACCCTACTTGAGAGCTTGGGCAGCCGGCCAGCTGCGTATTCCTTCTGGTTACTCATGGTGCCGTAGCCACAACGCAAGGAGGGGTGATGAATCCTCCCACATCAGCTTACTTCAGGGCCCCTGCGGCCATGCCATCCATGCCTTGACAACTACCTCACGGCGCGCACTTCTGCTTGCTCGCAGCCGCTATGGAGCAGAAGGCTGAGCGGTGTGTCAGTGCTGTGGCCATGAGGCGAGGAACGTATCAGGGAGTGGATGGCCTGGTTGCAGAGCCCTGAGGTAAGCTGATGTGAGGCACACAGGCGGTTCTACACTCTGCCTCATGGCGGGGGCATCGGCGTGTCGTGTGGCCTCCTGTCCTGCCGCCAGCAAGCAGAAAAAGGGGCCCTCCCGTACCTGGGAGGGGAAAAGACACCCCCCTAAAATAAGCCCTAGCACTTATTTTGGAGCCCAAAAAGAAATAAGACCGGGTCTTATTTTCGGGGAAACTCGGGGTAAGAAAGCAACAAAGCCGTAATGCTCACAAGCAGGAAAGACCAGAGCAAAAACGGCAAGCGTGAAAAGATTTTTTGCAAAGTTGCAAAGACTAAAAGATGGTTTCTCTCCTCTCATCCCTCACCCCCAACTGAGCCAAGGGTGCAATTCTCTCACCGCCCCAGGGATGAAATCCTTCCCGGTCTTATCCAAGAGCTGCTTGGGGCTTTCTCCCTTTAAGCCCACCAGGGTGATGGAGACCGAGTCGAAAGTAGCTGAACCCCAACGCTTCCCAGTGGCAACGCGGACTTTGTACACCAAAGCTTCCGGGCTGGAGCGAGTACTCTGTTGTCTCCAAAAATTCTTCTTTTCCTGCTTTGGAGAAGAAAAACAAAGATCAGTGATGGCAAGGTAAAATTTGACCCAAAAAAGAAATACAGTGAATTTTGTTCATATAAATCAAGGGTCTTCAAACTTGGCAAGTTTAAGACTTGTGGACCAACTCCCAGCATTCCTGAGCTAACGTGACTGGAGGAGGAATTCTAGAAGTTGAAGTCCACAATTCTTAAAACTGTCAAATGTCAGCATTCCAGTTAAGAGAAAATCAGAGTTGGAAGGGACCTTGTAGGTCATCTAGTCCAACCCCCCGCCCAAGAGGGAGACCCTACACCATTTCTGACAGATGGCAGTCCAATCTCTTCTTGAAAGTCTCAAGTGATGGCGCTCCCGCAACTTCCGAGGGCAGCTTCTGTTCCATGGGTTGATTGACTGGTTGATTCCAGCAAATCTCCTTTCCAGCCATTAACTGTGAGACAGACATTTCTCAAAGATTGCTTTATTTAGATAGCAACTGGCACATCTGCGGAATCCCAAATCTGAAAGTTTCCGAGCTTCTTTGCAATATTCAAAACTACAAATCCACCCCCTGCTTCCACTTTCTCAGGCTTGTGGCAGTGTGGGACCATCAAATCTCAATATGGCTTCCAAAGCTGACAGGCGTCCCCCCTTGAAAAAAAAGCACATCCTGGAATAGATAATAAACAAAACACAACCGGGGGTTAATGCGATGCCCTTAACCCCCTCTCCCTCCTCCAAGGGGACCCTTCGGTTTGTCAGGGAATCTGTCATGGAATTGGTTAATCAATCTATCTGCATGTATATCCCAACTTTTTACCCGAGTAGCGTCTGACAAAGGGTAGCCTTTCCATAGCACCAAATATTGTAATCTTCCTCTGTGTAACTAGAATCGAGGATCTTCTTTATTACTTCTGTGGAATCCTGAATATGAACGTTTCGGGCTTCCTTGCAATATTCAAAACTACAAATCCATCCGCCCCCCCCCGCCCCCTTTCTCAGGCTTGTGGCAGCATCAAATCTCAATATGGCTTTCAAAACTGACATCAAGTTTGAAGACCCCTGATGTAAATGGTAATGGAATCAGAATCAGGATAGAGCTGGAGGCCCTATATTCATTTTTGTCACCTTGAACATTTTATTTTTTATTTATTTTGATTTGTCAATCGCTTACAAGGTAATAGGTATAAGTATATACATAGTTATGAATACATGAAATGGGTACATATAAGAAAAATAAAAGAAACAATAGGACAGGGATGGTGGGCACGTTGGGGCGCTTATGCACGCCCCCTACAGGCCTCTTAGGAAGGGGGTGAGGTCAATAGTAGACAGTCTAAGGTTAAAGTTTTTGGGGTTTGGGGAAGGAACCACAGAGTCAGGTAGAGGATTCCAGACATTGACCCCTCTGTTGCTGAAGTCGTATTTCCTGCCATCAAGTTTGGTGCGATTAACCTTGAGTTTTGTATCTATTGTTTGCTCTTGTATTATTATGGTTGAAGCTGAAGTATTCATTGACAGGTAGGGCATTGCAATGTATGATTTTATATACCATATTTAGATCAGACCGAAGACGGCGTAATTCAAGGTTTTCTAGGTCTAGAATTTCAAGTCTGGTGGCATAAGGTATTCTGCAACGAGTAGAGGAATGAAGAAATATTCTTGTGAAATATTTCTGGACTTTCTCAACTGTGCTAATATCAGATACGTAATGTGGGTTCCAGACTGATGAGCTGTAGTCAAGTATAGGTCTAGCAAATGTTTTGTATGCTCTAGTTAGTAGTGTGATATTACCAGAGAAAAAGCTACATAGGATTAGGATAACAACTCTTAATGCCTTTTTGGCTATATAGTTACAGTGGGCACTTAGATCATTAGAGAGGAATACTCCAAGGTCCTTGACAGAGTTTGGATCATCAACAAGGTCTTGACTACTCAGCTTGTATTTTATTTTCTGATTTTTTTTGCCAATATGTGTATATCCGAACTGGATTGTGTTGTTTGTATGTGTCATATAATATATGTGGGTATATGCATAATATTGTGTTTATTTATTATTTTGTCATGTTTCTGTAGCGTATATGGCAGAAATGGTTAAATGGATTGCTTTTATTCAAAGGGGAGAATATATTTAATTATGGTTATTTTACTTGGAACTCACTTGTGGATTTCATGTTTGCAATGAAAAAAAAAAATGAAACTCAGACTTTGTTTTGGCCAATTAGACAATTTGTCATTGTAGAAACAGCTAGTTGTGTCTTGGGGGAGAAAGGGAAAAGTGGAGGCCATAATGTTTGGTTTTGCACTGGACTAAAAAGAGTCAGAAGTCAATTATGTTGTTTTCTTTCTTTCTTTCTTTCTTTCTTTCTTTCTTTCTTTCTTTCTT